TTCTGCGTCTTCCAGAGGCGGCTGGCTAACAGGGCGAAGGCCTGATTGTGAATCATTCCCGCACCCTGGTTAAATATCGGGGGTGGCGGAGACAGGCTGCGGTCGTTTGGCGACATCCTGGTTCGCTTCTGCCTTTGCCACGGGACAGGCTGCGGTCGTTTGGCGACCTTTGCCACGGGGGTGGCAGAGACAGGCTGCGGTCGTTTGGAGACATCCTGGTTCGCTTCTGTCTTTGCCACGAGGGTGGCGGAGACAGGCTGCGGCCGTTTGGCGACATCCTGGTTCGCTTCTGTCTTTGCCACGGGGGTGGCAGAGACAGGCTGCGGTCGTTTGGATGTCGGGTTCGCTTCTGTGTTTGCCACGGGGAGACAGGCTGCGGTCGTTTGGCGACATTCTGGTTCGCTTCCGTCTTTGCCACGGGGGTGTCGAAGACAGGCTGCGGTCGTTTGGCGACATCCTGGTTCGCTTCTGCCTTTGCCACGGGGGTGGCAGAGACAGGCTGCGGTCGTTTGGATGTCGGGTTCGCTTCTGTCTTTGCCACGAGGGTGGCGGAGACAGGCTGCGGCCGTTTGGCGACATCCTGGTTCGCTTGTGTCTTTGCCACGGGGGTAGCGGAGACAGGCTGCGGCCGTTTTTGTCTTTGCCACACGGGTGGCGGAGACGGGCTGAGGTCGTTTGGCGACATCTTGGTTCGCTTCTGTCTTTGGCACGGGGGTGACAGGCTGCGGTCGTCTGGCGACATCCTGGTTCGCTTCTGTCTTTGCCACGGGTGTGGCGGAGACACTTCTGCCTTTGCCACGGGGGTGGCGGAGACAGGCTGCAGTCGTTCGGCAACATCCTGGTTCACTACAGAAGCGATCCAGGGTGTCGCCAAACGACCGCCACCCCCAGGGCAGAGACAGAAGCGAGCCTGGATGTCGCCAATCGACCGCAGCCGGATGTCGCCAAACGACCGCAGTCTGTCTCGGCCAAACGACCGCAGCCTGTCTCCGCCACCCCTGTGGGCCCAACCGTCTGTCTCCGCCACCCCTGTGGAAAAGACAGAAGCCAATTAGGATGTCGCCAACCTCCGTGGCAAAGACAGAGGCGAACCAGGATGTCGCCAAACGACCGTGGCAAAGACAGAAGCGAACCAGGATGTCGCCAATTACCGCAGCCTGTCTCCGCCACCCCCGTGGCAAAGACAGAAGCGAACCAGGATGTCTCCAAACGACTGCAGTTTGTCTCTGCCACCCCCGCGGCAAAGACAGAAGCGAACCAGGATGTCGCCAAACGTCCGTGGCAAAGACAGAAGCGAACCAGGATGTCGCCAATTGACCCGTGGCAAAGACAGAAGTGAACCATTCTTTCTCCAAACGACCGCAGCCTGTCTCTGCCACCCCCGTGGCAGAGACAGAAGCCAACCAGGATGTCGCCAAATGACCGCAGCCTGTCTCCGCCACCCCCGTGGCAAAGACAGAAGCGAACCAGGATGTCTCCAAACGACCGCAGCCTGTCTCTGCCACCCCCGTGGCAAAGACAGGAGCGAATCACTGTCGTTAAATGACCGCAGCCTGTCTCCGCCAGCCCCGTGGCAAAGACAGAAGCGAACCAGGATGTGTCCAAACGACCGCAGCCTGTCTCTGCCACCCCCGTGGCAAAGACAGGAGCGAATCAGGATGTCTCCAAATGACCGCAGCCTGTCTCTGCCACCCCCGTGGCAAAGACAGAAGCGAACCAGGATGTCTGCAGCTTGTCTCTGCCACCCCCGTGGCAAAGACAGAAGCGAACCAGGATGTCGCCAATTGACCCGTGGCAAAGACAGAAGCGAACCATTCTGCCTCCAAACGACCGCAGCCTGTCTCCGCCACCCCCGTGGCAAAGACAGAAGGCAACCAGGATGTCTCCAAACGACCGCAACCTGTCCCGGTGGCAAAGACAGAAGCGAAACAGGATGTCGCCAAACGACCGCAGCCTGTCTCTGCCACCCCTGTGGCAAAGACAGAAGCCAACCAGGATGTCTCCAAACGACCGCAGCCTGTCTCCGCCACCCCCGTGGCAAAGACAGAAGCGAACCAGGATGTGTCCAAACGACCGCAGCCTGTCTCCGCCACCCCCGTGGCAAAGACAGAAGCGAACGGATGTCGCCAATTGACCGCTGCCTGTCTCCGCCACCCCCGTGGCAAAGACAGAAGCGAACCAGGATGCGCGTTGTCATGGTCGGTTTTTTCTTCTTCTTTTTTTTCTGTTCCGTGATAAGAGAGCGACGATCAACAGGTTGATGATGGGCACAATGACAATGATGATGAAATACGCATCCCCAGCGTCGCCAGCAAACCAAAAATGACAGTGCTGATGACGATGATGACGCATTTCCATGATGATGATGATGATGATGATGATGATGATGATGATGATGATGATGATGATGATGATGATGATGATGATGTTGATGCTTGGCCGGACTACGTCTGCAAGAAAGGCTGGGAGCACAGCGTCCGTGCGCGGGAGTGCTTAATCAAGTTGGGAGCGCTGGGACTTGCGTTTGTTGTGAAAGCCAGACTCGGCGGGTTCATGCGGGTTTGTGGCGGGTTTAATGCGGGTTTAACTACGTCCGCAGGAAACGCTGGGAACGCAGCGTCCGTGAACGGGAGTGCGTGTTTCAGTGGGGAGCGCTGGGACTTGCGTTTGCCAGAAGGTCGGCGGATTCCACAAACGTGATTCGACACCTTTCACTTGGGGTGGAATCGACGCGGGTAGGATGTGGCTGGCCTCATGGAGGCGCGCGCCATCCATTCGCTGGTGGATGCGAGCTGCGGCCACCTCAGCCGGGCACCCTGGAGACATGCACGAGAGGTGCGTTGCCTAAAACTCAGGATGTGTCTATCCAATAGGTTGTCTCTAGAGTTCATCCAACCACATTGGGGGAAGCCCGTTCCTTCCAGTCCAGTCACACCGTGCTGCACTTGGTGCCCGCTCAGTGCCTGCACTTGACCTGCGCTTCAGAGATCCCTTCAACCCCTCCCTTATTTGTGGCGCCCGCAAGCCCAGGGCAGTCCGGCCGGCAAAGCGTTGCTTCCTTCAGCCCTTTGGTTGGGGTTTGGAAGAGACTTTGGAGCTCGTGAACCCCAGGCTGGTCGCATCTCACCGTGCCGAGCGGCGGCAACGAGCCTCGTCAAATGGCTGTGGCCACCTGGCCACCCCAACTTTTAGTCACGCAAAAGGATAGCATTTGAGGTGCAGGGCAGGGGCCTCAGTTTTGAGCTTGTGATTTGACACCCTTGCGGGCGTGGGCGATGGGACAAGTCTAGCTTTCTTTGTTTTTCAGGGTTTAATCCCTCATTTTCCAGATTCCTCAAAAGAAAAGGATCTCCTTTTTGACTTCAAAGGCGTGATCCAAGGAGTTCCTGTCAAGATGGCTGAAGCCAGGCGAGTGCGTAGAGTGGCCGGGGCCCTGGACCCCTGCAACCCGGCTTTCGCGCCCGCACGGGCCGCCGGGCCGGCGCCGTCTTTTGGCCGCTCGACAGGGCCGCCATCCTCGAGGAGGGCGCTGATGTGCGGCGCTCGCTGTGTGAAATCGGCGCACCCCCAAATCGAGCTTCTTTTTCTTGATTGCTTTTTGGTTTCAAAGCCGAAAAGCGAGACCGAAGGGCCCGCAGCACCGAGCCTCAAAGCACTCCCTGCTGGATCTTCTTGCAAGGTGATGGTGCACACGGCCTTCCTGCCTCAGGATCGCAGCTCCAAACACGAGAGAGTCGTGTTGAGAGGGTCCCTTTGTCTCAGGTGTCAGAGGGTAAGCGAAGGGAAACTGGTCCAGGTGTTCGGTTTAGTGGATTGTTTTGTGCTCATAAGTCTTGTACGGCTTGCTGAAACCGATAGCTGCAGCGATACTCCAAAATGGAGGGGTCCCTTTTTGGTCTCCATTTCTCATTTTTTTTTGTGGGGAAATCCAGGATCGGGTCATATCCAGTTGGACCCATGGGGCTTTCCAAGTTCCCGTGAGGATGAGGCGCAGCAGGAGGAGTTGGCCTTCATTGCCGAGGAGAAAATTCTTGTGTTTCGGGTGGCAGTCTGCTTGGGGTTTCCTGGCGGCCCCTTAAGGCCGTGTCTTTGGAACACCTTTGGACAAGAAAAGCGTCCGGGACATTTTTGCATTTCCATGTTGCTCTTTGCCCAGGAGAAGCTGCTGCTGCGTAAGGCCATCACCAGCGTGTACACTGCCCCAGCCGAAGGCTCACGTTCGCACTTCCCAGCTGTCGCACGACAGCCGAAGCTTCGGGGGATCGGGGCTTCGGCCAGGAGTCTATTGGCTTTGCGCGACGAGCTGAGAAGCCAAGAGGCTGAGAGGCCAGCAGCGAGGGCACTTTTCACTGAGGTGGACAACAGCTCTTCTTGGGTCAACAGCAAGACAATCACCATCGACCTGAAGTGACCGGAAGAGGTGGAAGAAGAGCTGGAAGAAGTGACAGAACCCGGGATCGTTTTTTTTTTTTTGGTGTGAGAAGTGAGGCAAAGGCGAAGAGGTGAGCCTCATGAGGGCCTAAGGCCCGGGCCATCTCCCAGCCTTGGATCGATTGCAGATTCGCGGCAAAAGGCGAGTACTCGGTGTAGTTCTCTGTGTATTTCTCATGTTTGGGCCGATCTCATCCCCCCCCCCCCCCCCATTTTTGACTCTTGACGCACATCTCATTTGCTGGGACTGATTCTGATGTGTTGTGGCAATCAGCTGGGCACCTGCGCGTGTTTGCCCTGGTGCGAACTTCAGCAACAGGGCTGCGATATGTCAGGGCGGAAGTGAAGAACGCGGCGACGGTGTTGCAACTGCTTACTAGAGCCCCAACCGTGCCTCCTTGAAGCCGCAAAGAGGGTTGTTGGCTTTGATAAGATGCCAGGAGCATGTAGCAGGGCTCCTTAAAAGATACATTTTGCCAATTTGAAACATGGCTTTTTCCACCAAAATAAACAGAAACCACCATTGACAAGGCAATGTTCAGGTGTATAATGTAGGAGCCGATGCCAAGGCGAACATCGACTTCGAGTGTGAGCCCTGGCCCAGCTTTCCGCAGGCGGGATTCGAGATGGGAAAGAACCTTAACTGCTTCGAACGAGGTCAAGCGGCTGGCGTTTCGGTGCAATCTCTTGAGAGTCCGCAAAGGGAAAGCCCGCACAACCACAGAGCTAGCCCAGAATGTCGAAAGGCCATGATGTTGTGCGACTCCTGCCTGTCAAACTCAGCGCAGGGATTTCTTGCAATGCCGCCAAGTCCGCCAGCCAGCCGTTTGAGGGAAGGGTTCCGATTGCCTACACTGCCAAGCACCTGAGGGGACTAAGACAACTAGCTGTCAGAGGGACTCAAGGACATCTCGCATGCTGGTTGCCAGACAAGCGGAACGGCCAAGCAAGGCAAGCATAAGCACAGCAGCCCCCAACATCTCCCGAAGCAGCTCAGGTGTTGAATGTGTCGGCATTCGATTCACCACTCTTCCGGCTCGTCCGGTTTACTCGGGAACGACATTTGCTCGAAGAGTGCCAGGCCCGGGACCTGTGCCAGCAGCTGCTGGCCTTCCAGCCCGAGGTGGGAGCTGGCCATGGGATCGAAGTTGGGAAGGGAAGTCCCGACGTCGGGACCCGCGCTTTGCCAACGTCGGCACCACCATCACGAAACGAAGGGCTCCATGCGGCTTGCGCAGGACCGGAGCCCCTCCGCCCGGGCGGCGTTGAACCACCCCTGGCTCTCGGGCAAGTGACGCTGCAAAGAAGCGGCCGTAGTGGCCGTAGCGGCCGTAGCGGCCGTGTGCGGCTCTTGGATGATAGCTGCTGCCATTTTATTTTAAGGAAGCGCCATGAGGATTTGGCAAAGCCAGATCCGAGTCAGAACTGCGTCGAGCGTTCCGGGTGCCCTGAGGGCAAGACCTGGGACTTTCTCCCCGAAAGGCCAAAAGGCCGCTGGCAAAAACGCGAAGTGCGGCCTTGCCTGTAGACTTATGGGTGAACAGGGGAACTTGTTTGGCGGAGGTTGTAGGTTGGGCGTTCGCAAAATATGCTAAAGGTGGCTGCATCGCATATCAAATTGAATGTTGGGAATCTGAGATTCAGTCTTAGCAATGCTAGATTCAATATTCCCAATGCGAAATGGGACATCGAACAGTAAGTCTCGGCAGGACTAGATGTAGAATTGGCAAGCAATGCTAAATCCAGATCCGCCATATTTTCTTTTGGACTCGGCAGCAAACTTCGAGTGCCCGACAGTCACAAAACCATTCTGGCCCGTACCTTCTATAACTTCTGTTTTGTTCCTCTTTCTTGAATGTCACATGTAGTTAGTGGTGCAGACCACTTTCTGTGGCATTGGCTTGACATTACTTGACTGGTTTGTGTCATGCTCCTCCTGTCTGAAAGCCACTTCTAGTTGGGCCAAAGCACCTTGTAGGGTCAAATCCGAGTTGGTTGAACCCCGCCACCATCGTCCCATTGTGACCTCGTGAAGTCAAACCTGAGCTGAAGCGTTGCAGCAGCGACAGTGACAGCAACAGCAACAGCAACAGCAACAGCACAGCAGACTAGTCTGAGTTGTTTTTCAGTCAACTTGCTCTTGTTTTTGTCCTTGGACTTTGGTAGCATCGTCCAAAAGAGTCAATTCGGCCCTCATCATGTCGCGGTCCAAAAGGGCCCGGAAGGCGGGGCTCAGAGTCGGGCCAATGTGCGAGCCTTGACGTGAATATCACCTGATGTTCTCCATGTTTGCTTGCTCATTAGGGGTCATCAAAGGTAACGGGAATGGACAGAGGGATCCAAGAGGAAGCCACCAGTTGGATGGTTCACTCTATGGTTCTTGCTACCTCCAAGCCATTATTCGGTTTGAATATGGTTTAATGTGATATACACCCTGTAGAATAATAACTTTGTCGTATATCCCGTCAAGCTCCTGGGGGTCGTTGGGGGGTAGTGGACACCTTAGGTTCAGTTCACGGTAATTCCTCATTCCCAGGCTGGCATTTCAGAGAGACCTTTCGCAAGCAAATGTGATTTTTTCTCCTCGCAAGCTAAATTTGGTTGGGAGAGGGACATTATTCTTGGACATTTGTACTGCGCCACACTCGCGGAAGCATGCCGACGGCTTCGCGGAAGGGATTTCTTTCGCGGAAGGTTTGCGGAAGCGTTGTGGATTGATGCGAACTGAGTCAGTTTGTGGGCGCGGAAAAGCACGGAATAACGATTACACTAGAAGCAGAAAGGTGTTGCTGTGTACAAGAAATGCAACGCCTACTAGAAGAGCAGTTGCCAACAGCAAGCCAAGAGGACCACGGGTGTTGTGGAAGGTTTGCGGAAGGATCGCGGAAGCTCCGTGGAAGGGTGGCCCCGTGTTTGCAAACAAGTGCCCCCGTACTGTAGAACGGTTAGCCCAATGGAGCCCAATCAGAAGTCTGCGGAAGGGACCTCTTGGCCCTCGGCAAGGATGCGGAGGCGGACGCTTGAAGAATGTCCAATGAAGAAGCTTAAGGCGAACAACAACCACCACAAGGACTTATCAAACCACCAGGCCGGGCTTTGGCTCCCAGTCCAGGCTTGCTACGAAGATCCCTCGAACCGATCGCAAGTTCTACTTTGGACTTCCTAAGGGCCCCGTTGTTTGTTGTCGGGCGCTGTTCGAGCTTAAAAGTTGCAACCACCGACTTCCAGAAAACTGGTCGTAAGTTTAAAGCTCGCCTGAAAGGAAACCGCCCGTTGGTTCAGCGCGCCATTCGTTTGGTGCGATTCGCTGGAGGCCCTACAGACAAAACAGGCGCTGCGCCAGGCAGAGAGTCAGAGATGGATTGGGGGGCGGGCCTGGGAATTCTGGTGTCTTGTCAAACGGTCTGCAACAAGGTTTGGTTTGGGGCAGTTTTCTAGGCGATACCCTTGTTGATGTTGGGGAAACGTTGTTGGTCCGACTTTCAGTCCTTTTGCTTTTGGCTGCAAAGCAATATACCAGGTATCGTGTGGGTTTGTGTCAGAGGGGCGCACAGCACATTTTTTGAAAAAGTTACGCTCCAAAATACATATTTATGTTGGATGAGGCGTACAGCAATCTTCTTTGCCGCGCATCATAGATCAGCAACAGGGGCTAATGCAGGAAATTCCATCTAAAATTCTCCCGCACCTGGACACCCCTCGTTTCAGGTCCTTGGTATCTCAGGGCGATTTTCCGCGATTCTCCACAACCATGTGCGCGAGCCTGCCAAGGAGACCCCAGCCGCAGACGCTGCTGACGCAGAGCATGTGCTCGAGCCGCCCGAGCTTGTGGCTGGAGTGGAGAAGGGGGAGGGCACGGCTGCGGAGCCTGCCAAGGAGACCCCAGCCGCAGAGGCAGTTGCCTCAGGGTTGCCGAATGGCGTTGGAGAGGTTATATTTGCTGACTCCGACTTTGTGAATCTGCGGGGGGACTATCCGCGCGCAAGCCTTGGACAAGCCAAAAGCTGGTAAGCCCTCACAAGGCATCTTTGGGGGCTTCTACTCATAACAGTCAAGTACCGGTTCAGAGCAATGAATGGTTGGCGTGCTTTTTGCTCGGGGTGTTGGGGAGTGGGCTCAGCCAGGCCAGGGCAAAAGAGATGTTGAGTTTAAAGGATGAAGGCTGTGGCCCGCTCGTTCAGGAGCTTTTTCATTTTTTCTTCTCATGATTCAAGTTTGCCTGCAAAGGTCGCACACACACAAAACATGCAGAACCGTTTTTTTTTTTTTTTTTTTCCCAGGAGTTGGGGTTCGGGGTGATGGACACGTGGCTCGGGGATGTGGGGACCTGCTCCGCGAGGTGTGGGAGGCCAGATTTCGTGTCAGCTTTCGTTTCCGGGCCCCCATTTTTGAGTTATAGCCGGTTGGGGCCCATTTTTGAGCCGCAGCCGAACGAGGGTGGATTTGCTGCGGGACTTTTCGCCGCCAAAACGGGCAAACCCCAAAAAAGCGGTAACCACTCGGAGCCAAAATAGGGGTTCCATGCCAAGTGCTCCAATGGTAGGTTTGATGCAGGAAAACATTGATGGCCTCGACAACTCGCTGCCTGACGGCCAAGCCTTGCACACTGTGTGTGTGTGTGTGTGTTGAAATAACATGTTGCTGGGCAGCCAACTGCACTTCCTGGTTTCACGCTTCTTGAGAGCAGTACTGATTCTGATGTCACTGGGATTCCCCTGCTTGCAACAGGCTTTGCGACACCGGAAACCATTTCAGCGAAGATGACCTCAGTTGTATCAGGTAAAGCAACATAGCGCCAAGTGCAAACAATAAAGGGTTGAAGATGCAATCCAGTATGCGCATCGGATGCGCATGATGATGCAGATGACCACCCATTTGGTAGCGGTTTCCCAACATTAGGGTACTAATCATGGGCCCTCCCCAGGAGGAGTTGAAAGGGAAACCTCCAGGGGGCCCCTTGATGTAGAAAAAAAGATCGGACATCCCCAAGCAAAATTTGAGCACCCGTGCGGCAGGTGGAGCTCGCAGCCGCCACTGCCAGATGGCAGCGGCAACGCAGAGTGACGAACTGGGAGGCGGGTGCCACGGCTGCTTCGTGTAGTTGGCAATAGCGCCCCACCACATGAAGTGGTGTCAGCCACTCTGGTTTTAACCCTCTTAAGGGTGCATCATGGGCTACTTCAGATGGGCAAGATTCAGGTGAAATTATTCTAGGATAAACACTGAACTGCCACTGTTATGTCAGGGCTAGGCTCCCCTTTGAAAAGTAAACAATTAAAGGTGGAATTGTTTGGCTTGGAGTGCCCACAAAAGGGAATATCATTGGGATTTGATTTGGATTTCATTGGAGTTTCATTCGACTCCCATTGGAGTTTCATTGGAAAGGGGGAATCTGCAACTAAAGTCCAGCGACATTCCAGTGAAATCCAATGATACTCAGGAGTAGAGTTGCTCTGGAATGTAACTGGAACATTCGTACATTGACATACGTACGTACGTACGTCCATACATACATACACACACATGCATGCATACATACATACATACATACATACATACATACATACAT